TGTAATGATGAAACAGATTTGAGTTAGATAAGGAAAATTAATTTCAGAAATTCAATCCTCAAGCCCTAAGATTTAAAAGAAAAAAATGAGAAAAGAAACAGCGGAGTGCACATATATGTTAAATAATGCTAGAATAAACAATATTTTAGCTGAGTATTCAGTGTTCTAAAAAGTATAAAGCGTGAGCTTAAGCAAGCCTAGGAAATGTTTTGGCATAAAAAAAACGTTTTCTTATTTTTAATACTATTTTAAATTTTTAATCATATTAAAAATTATTTAATAATTAAAATACTACATATCAAACATCTAAAATTATAAAATACTATATTTACTTAATAAGTCATAACATTAGTCAATTATACAATTTTCAAGTTTTCAAAATGCAAAAATTAGCATATTTTTTATAGTTTCAATTTTCAACTAAACAAATCCTACTTCATAGATTTATAGGAACTTCATACCCGCTTTTGGAGTTTGCAACAAAATAAAGAGTCTCAAAAGCATAATTATATAATGTAAATAGCACCATAGCTTAAATCTTATTTAAATATTTAGATAAAGTTATTTTTAACTTTTTTACTGATAAAATCTTTTAAAAACTTGAAATTAAAGTCAAGTGAAAAGGTTTTTTTAAAAAATAAAAATAAAAAAATTAATAAGCTAAAGTCAAATAAAATACTTTTAAAACAAAGGAAAAAAACAAAAAAAAAAACTAATAAAACGTGCCTAGGGAAGACGAAAGAGAGGAAGGAAAAAATTCAAGGGAAGGACTTCTAGGAGGGAAAAAAAAAAAAAAAGCATCTAGGCTCAAAGCGAGGCATTTTGCTCGAGCTTCGAGCCTAGGCGAATTTTTTAGAACAATGGTACTATCTAATCCTCCCCCACCAAACATGCCATTATATTAGTATGGTCAACAAGCCATTCAATCTAAGAGAATGGAAACTGAAACACCGTTCTCCTCACTTTAGACATCCAAACATCATACATAATTTTAGAAAGAAACTTAAATTTTTCGAAGTGATGCCATTCTCTCATGGCCAAAAATGGAATGATGAATACAGATAAGTTGCAAGAAACTGCAATTTACTTACAGGAACGAACTTATCATTGTATGGGTCCCATATGTCTTGGTCAATTCCATTTAGAATGCCATGAAATTTGTAAAGGTAAGGAGCAATAACAGGATTTCCAGAAACCTCCTGTGAATAAGTGGGGGATACCTGCAGGCCCAAATATGCAGTTTTAGATACAAGAAATCAAATCTCTGCTTCAACATCATAAGAAATGCTCAGTCACCTAACAGAGAAATCTAGCTCAACTAATGCAACCAATAAACAAGGTCAAAGTGATAGGAGTTTAGTGGGGAGTCCTTTAAACACTTACAGTCGTAGCCTTATCCGAGTGCTCCATAGCTTTCCCAATCAAGTTTGCTCCATATTCAAGATTGTGAATAGAGAAGACAACTCGTGCTTTATTGAGGCCATAATGTCTATAATGTTTCTTATACAACCATGCAACTGGAGCACTAGACCAATCATGGCAATGAATTATATCCTGGTACAAAAAAAAGAAAAAGAAACACTAAGTTGAAAATTTCTGAAGTGCTATAAATTCAATTGGTAAACAGACACCTTGTAAGTGAAAAATCTGCAGTATTTGCATTTATTTATTTAAGGGTGGAATAGGAAAAAGGGTCTGATAACATTTGCTTGAAAGAGTATGTCCCACAAAATTAGCTAGACGCAAAAGTCATAGCAATATTAAGCAGGAAAATACAGCCTAACAGTAACAGAGAACAAAATTTGAAAACAATCAGAAACTCAAATAATCAACACTTTTCTTGTTGGGATACTAACTCTCCTCGTAATGCCACTAGAAAAACATTATTATCAAGAGTTCAGATCTCTTATGTTGCAATATAAATGAATCAAATAGATTGAAAATATCCAAACTTTATCCTTGATGTGGATTGGAGCTTACTGGACGGGATCCACTTTGCAGAAGAAACTCGAGAGATGCATGGCAAAAGAAACCAAATCTTTCCCCATCATTACTGCGACCATATATGCAACCCGCCCAAAAGAATCTGGAATAGACAAATACACAGAATAACTCGAGCACGAGAACAATAAACAAGTTCGTTCAGTACCATACACTAGTAACACTTCATATTTTGCAGATTTAAATCTTATTCAGCTTAAGAACAAGTTCTAAGCAAGAGTATGAATTAAATATAATTCACCAAGATCTATTATAAAAAGTAGATTTTCAAATAAGATGAATACAACTATGTGTGCAGTTGCAGTAAGAATCGCCTAGTCAACTCAATAATCGGCAGCATAACCACAGTAAACAAATCACCATCTCCCCAGAGCACCAAAGAAAAATTAAATGCATTTTTGGCAAAGCTTAAATTATAATTTAAGCTGGTTAAAATACTCTTTATCCACACATTTCATACGATCCATAACTTCTCATTTATTATCCACATGTTCAGTAAAACCCATAGCTTATAATACATAAAACCACTACCAAAACATACTATAAATAGCATGCCACCGAAGAGGTAATTAATATGATAAACAAGCAGAGGCAGAACAGGTATCTTGAACTATGAACATAAGAACAAGCTCAAACAAAAAGGTACAAACTACAAGCCACAAACAAGCTGGTAGCACTTGTAATTACCCATTTTGAGGCTCCAGAAAGTATACAGGAAGGCCTTCAACTTTCCCAAACCAAACTTTTATTTCAGTCCCACCCCAAGAATAGCTTTTGTGAAACTGAAAGTCCTCCACCTGCTCCATAAACATGTATCATTACTATGGATGAAAGTCACAATATACTTGATCAATATTTAACAAGGAATATATGATGCAGTTGTAGAAAGAATATTTCAGTACGTGAGTAGAAAGCAACGAACAAGAATGAGACCTGAGAACAAAGGGGGAGAGAGAGAGAGAGAGAGACGGAGAAAATATCAATTTATTCAATAATCAAGTCTTACAATGTAAAGACCTCTTTATATAAGATTTCAAGAACCTAACTTAAGTAGGAAAACAACTAGAAAATCTATTAAAGTAAACCCTATTTGTTTCCTAAAATAAGTATTTATATGGAGACTCTTCCATATAAAACTAAAACCTAATTATGATACCAAATTCACGTAGAACGCAACGACCAAGAATGAGACTTGAACAGAAAGGAAGAGAAAGAAAGGAGAAAGGAGAGAGAATCAAGAAAGAAGTTAAAGGAAGAGAACTTAGCTAAAGGAAACATACTGAATCTTACATTGTTAAGCTTCAAACAATCATATTTTGGAAGAATGATGTCCACATGATGGTTCATATCTTGAACAGCACGTGAAAGACTAGTGACAACATCACCAAGACCCCCCACCTGCAAGAGATCATAACAATATCTGTTATAATCATGACATCAGTAGTAATAATACGTGACTTAATAGTTTATATTCAAAAATATTATATTAGTAGACAAGATAATACAAAAATTGTGTAGAACTAGATACATTGTCAGCCTCTTACCATATCTCATGCAAATTAGACTTACTACTTATGAAGTTAGGGTGTGGGGCTTTCCATTTTTGCTAAGAGGGGAAATCATAGAACAGGCAGCATACGGTACTCAGTAACTCTAACTCAGCATGCTTGCTAATTTAATCTCAGTTAACACGTGGATTCCTTCCTACATGCATACAAGTGAAAAGTAAAATCTAACCCCCAATAAAAAATCTACTTATTTTGTACAATATTGCGGCAATGACATTTGTATTGTACTTTCCCTTATCACCGATATGTTGAACTCAAAATTCAGATCACGTGACAAACTAATGATTGCTTTCATTTCAAATTGTCCATTTGAGTGGGTGTAATGAGAAAATGATATCTTTGGTTTGATATTTGGAAATCAAAAATTTATTGGACATCCCAGAATGGGACATCCTAGAATGGAAAGTGTGGCAAAAACAATGGGATGGGGGTGAGTACTGTAGATGAGGAATTACCCATGCATTAGATATAATCTTTCCATTGTTCTCAGGTTATTTGCACCAAACAAGAATCAGAGGGTTAAAGTATTGATAGAATCACTGTCTAGTATATTTTCAGGATGTCAGTCTTCAACCATTGAACTGGGTGCACTACACCCATTATTACTCTCTCATATTTGCACACTTCAGCATGTAAGAAATTTAGAACACAGGTTATAGTACAAATGAGCTATGAAATGCCTATCGAACTGCCATATATTACCTTCGCAATAGGCGCCATTTCAACTGAAATATGTACAATGTGCATAGGGGGCTCCTTCACTACTCCTCCAAAGACAGGTACATGGTAATCCATCCCATTTTTATTGTCAAAAATTCCACCACCCTCTTTCTCAGAGAACACAAAGTCCATCACATATGCATCCAACGGAACCTTGACTGAAAACGTAAGGAAGTAAGATAAATGTGCAGAAACACAACAGCAAATGTTAATATGATTTTTAGTATATCAACAATATAACCCACAAGACTCCTAATGATAGACCTCATCAAGGAGTTATTAACATGTCATGTTATGTGTGCAGGCCACCAAAAACAACCGAACACATGAAGCACTACTCTTGTCAGAATTTAAGAGGCACAATGTATTTCCAATCTTTTTTTCTTTACAGCAGAACATATCGACAATTTATGAGAATGCTAGGCAGAAAAACTTTATTCAGATAGCTACTAGATGCAAGGTAAGTATATTCAAACAAGAAAATGATGTTGAACGTGTACATATAACAAAGAAAAATAAAAACAGGTAAATC